TCCAGCCATCTAGAGAGCTTTCCTTGACATGAATTTCTTTTTAGTTAATTTATTGTTATTATTATTTTTGTTATTGTTATTGCTTTTATTTTGTTATTTGTTCTTTTATTTGCTATTGTTATTGTTATTAGTTATTATCAGCTGATTTATTGATAAATTTCCAGGTGTCTATTAAAGAGTTCTCGGATACCCTGAGGAAGTTGCAAGGCAGGGGCTGCACATCTCTGATCTGGTGTTGCCCTGTGACTCGAGCACTGCAGAAACACACACACACAGAGCATCTGTTTCAGAGAGTTTGTCCTCAGAACGACAGCCTCAGGCGAGTCTCCCTCCACCTCTACTAGGTGCCCTTCTGGCTTCTGGATCCGTGTTCAGGGCCTATGGCACACAGGCGAATCAATGCCAAACAGGCTCAGAGAGAAAAAGGCAAATACGTATGATATCATTTATGTGTGGAATCTAAAAAATCTGATACAAATGAATTTATATACAAAACAGACTCATAGACATAGAAGACAAATATATGGTTACCAAAGCAGAAGGAGAAGGAGGGATAAATTAGGAGTTTGGGATTAACATATACACATTATTATACATGAAATAGATATAGATTACCAACAAGGACTTACTGTATAGCACAGGGAACTCTACTCAATATTTTGTAATAACTTGTCAGGGAAAAGAATTTGAAAAGAAAAGCTAGATATGTATAACTGAACCACTTTACTATACACCTGAAACTAACACAATATTATGTATAAATCCACCATATGTCAATAAAATTAAAAGTAAAAAAAAAAATTCAAACAGGCTCAAAAAAAAAAAAATTAGGAAGACTGAATTAAGCTGTATGACAATTCCCAAGAAGAATGACTTGGTGTTCTCTACTCCTGTGACTCTCCACGCTGACACACACCTACACACACACACACACATCCTACTACAAGCCAACAGCAAGGCCAGCCAGGGTTCTGCTTACCCAACATTCTCCCAGTGCTCCGCCCCTTGGTGTGTGCAGTTCAACCTAACAAAACACCCAGGAAAGATGCAATCACAAAATGAAAGGAGCAATCACACCTCAAGTGGAAGTTTATGATGTTCTGGTTCACAACGAACATTAGTCTCTCCCACTAATGTCAGGCAGTAATTCACTGCCGAACAGCAGCCATAAAATATGATCACTTAGTGGTAAAAATGCCAGAGACAGAGAAATCAGAGCTGGAATATTTAAGCAAAGAGATCTTGTCCTCTGAGGCAACACTGACCTCATTCCCCCAACTTGGGTCAAAGGTTTTCAGATTTACACAGACACCTTAAAGCAAATCGAAATGGTACTGGCCTTAAGAATTTAACCTGTAGTTGAAACTGTAACAGCCTGTAACTTATTCCTAAATTTCTAGGTACCTCCTGATGACTGGAGCATGTATGTGCCAATGCCAGCCGTAACACACACACCCACACACACCCACACACACACACACACACAAGAAAAAATAAAAGACATCCAAATTGGTACTTTCCTCACCTCCTTTCCCCCTGCCTCATGTGATGTGTGCACTAAAGGAGTAAAATTACGGTCATCAGAGACAAGGTTGCCAATGATGGGGACCCATACCTTTCAAACAAACTGGAAAGTCAGTAATTTTCAGGGCAGCCCATGGATAGCTGCTACAGTCTAGCTCCTGAACTCCTGAAACTCACAGCAAACTCCCTTACTCTTAGCAAAGCCCCTAACTCCCTCCCGCCCAGCCTTCCCACCTTGAGTCCCTTGTCATATTGCAAAGAACTCTGCAAGGCCCTTGATTCACGCGGGAGATTATTACAGGGCTCAGAGAAGCCAGCTCTGTAATTACGGCAGCCATATGATTTCTATTATCCTGAGCCCCCAGTTTCAGTAGCTCACAAAACTTCCCACTAAATCCTCCTGCAGCCCCACAGCTTTTCATGGCTGGGCCTCTGCCCAAAGAGTGAATGGGGTCCTGATAACCTCTGGGAAAAGCAGGACAGAGTTATGACAGGGGAAGGGGAGTGGTGCTCAGTGAGCCAGAGTGGTGGGAAATTCTATTGTTTAGAAAAAAATAAATAAATGGGCCAGTTTCGCTTTTTATTATTTCAAACAACAGACGCGGCGGCCCAGCTTTCCTTTCCCTATTCAGACTGTCCCCCAGGGCCGGCTGAGTCTGCAGGAGTGTAGCTGGGCTTCAGCAAAACTATTAAAAAGGCCACCGTTCTGAGCTCTCGGAGCAGAAAGTTTGGCTGCCCCCATGGCCTGGCTTTCCCCCAGGAGGGCCACTGGCTCATTCCCCCACACATGACTCTCTGGCCCTACTTCTCAAATGTTTATGCTTCACCAGTCCCACTACAGCTCTGGAAATTAAATGTAATGTCCCAAGTGATTGAAATAGAACCTCGCCCCCAGCCTCTGCTCCAAAGTAAAAGATGAGAAATGCCAGTCCATGGTTTATAAAGCCCTAAAGCCCCTGATCAGGTGTGGCCTGTCATGGCCAGCCTGGCTGACCTCGGGGGACACTTCAAGGTAAGGCTCTGGCCACAGCCTATCCCACAATGGATGTCTGTGTGCACTTGGCCTGCCTGGGGTCCTGGAGGTGTCCTCAGCCCCCACTCACAGAGAAGGGCCTCACTCTGACCCCCCATCAAGGGACCAGCTTCTACAGGTGAGAGAGTCAGCCCCCATCAGCCTCCAACAACCCTCTGACCAAGAGCACACATTTATTTGCAAGTCAACCAACTTAGGTTTACGATGCAGCCATGGCCAGGAAACATCTTTTTTTTCCCCCCAAGAGAAAATAACTTCTGTTCTGTTATGTGCAGTGAATTCTCAATGTTTATATCATGGACACCATATACCCACCAGCTCAGACAATAGCAAAAAAAAAAAAAAATTCTTCTATAGGGTCTACTTGGTCTGGCCAGCAAGTGAAAAGATCCTCTGGCCCCTGGTAGGAAGTTGAGGGGGTGGGAACCTTCCAGAACATTGAAGGAAGTCACCTCTCCCTTCCACTGAGATGGGCTTAGTAGAGACAAGACCTAAAGCACTCCCAGTTCCTATGCTTACTTATTTACCCTCAACAGTGCTTACTTAGCAAAGCAGGTCAACAGACATTTCACTGTGTGACTTGTATATGGGAATGACTTTGGTATTTAGACTTTGGTATTTGGTATTTGCCAGCAAAGCAAACTCGTTGAATCCTCATGAAGAATGAAGTCACCTGAGCACCCAACAGAATCATCTTTTCCCGAAGTCCCTGCTCTAAAGCTCGTGGACCTCCCCCCACCTTGGCTTATACGGAGGCTTATCAGACACAATTTCAGCAAGTTTGGTTATCTGATTTCGCAGCTCACTGAAAGCTGGAAGCCGCAGCTCAGGGAGGAGGAAGGGTGCTGATGTGGACCAGGAGTCCTGGCAGCATCTGGAAGTGATGAGTGACAAGGTGCTCTAGAGGAAGAGCCGCAACGGCTGCAACAATCAGACACAACTCGTCTGCACTTCCAGCATCCTTCCTGGGCGTCCATGAGGCCAGGCCGCCATGTGAGTAGTAACCACAAGAAGGCCATGTTCAGTTGTGCTTAACATAGCCTCCTCAGAAAGGCAGGTGACTAGGAAATACCATTCTGCAAGCTGTAAGGACAAAGGTCAAATTAATCTATTCATTTGGCATAGAAGGCAGTACACTACAATGAGGTGGATGATCCCAGTGCGTGCTGGGTTGCCCGCATCACCCTTGCCACGTGCCATGGCATTTCACCAACATATGTTTTCTCTTCCAGCCGCTAGCCATGTAACTGCTTCACACACGTCCCCAACCCACACACACTCTGCTCCCTGCCTCTCCCCCTCCACACTCTCACCCTCCAGCCCCACCACCTGTTCCACAAAGATGCACAATCTGAAGAAAGAAAAACAATGGCTGGAATGGGCTGTCACACCATAGGACAGCTTAACAGGTACAATCTCGAGATTTGCAGAGAGCATTTCCCCTTGACCATCAAGCATATACCCACAAACACAGCAAAGAGAAAAGTAGGCATCAAAACTCGGTCTCAGATAAGGCACTGCTGCTTCATCCATCTGAACCACATGATGTCCAGAAAATTCCAGGGTAGGCCTAATTAAAACAAGCAGGATCTCCACACAGCATCATCAGTATTTCCCAGGAGAAAGACTCAAGAATGATTATCGGCCAACAGAAAACGGGATCTACTGCCTTGAGTTTTAGAAAGGCTTTTGATCCAAGCAAGAAGGGCACTCTGGGGGACCAGTGCCAACCCACTGAGATGAGAGCCCACGCAGAGGCGGGTGGCAGAGTAGTTCTGCATAGATGGAGACGTGAAACACGGCGGATGGGCCAAGGTCACCCAGTACCGCTGAAGCCAGCAAGCTTCTGGAGCACGAGGAGGAAAGTTCGTGTCCCCAGATCACATGGTTCCACTCCACCTGAAGGCATTTCTGTGCTCCCACAACATCCATGGTTTCCTCATCCCACGATCCGGCTCTTAGCCCCAGTAGCAATTCCCACGGGTACCATATACTTTCCTCCATCTGTTCCCTGAATGGATTCCAGATAGATGCACCGGCCAGAAGGGCTGAAGCGGGAGGAACAGGCACATCCCTTGCCCCTGTCCATCCTCCCCAACCATCCACGCCTAATAAAGGTCTTGCCTAGGGGCATAAGCCCAAGTTGGACAGAGCACACCACTTAGACTAGGAGCCTGGAGACGCACACCTCTCAGGAACACACCAGCCCCAAGAGGTGGATCCACACACTCACCCAGTGTGAGTCCCACAGCAATCCTCCATGTGAAGGCAGAGAAGGGACAAGAGTACCACTGTCGGCCTCAAAACAGCAACACACCTCCTTAGCACAAACCTGTATCACCAGCCAACCAGGTCCGGGGTAGCAAGAGAACGCAAGCCAACATCCGTCCCACTGGGGACAGGCTGTCCGCACAATCACCAAAATAACTACCCCTTGTCCTACCTTCTTCAGCTTGCCACTTTTGGTGCCCACGAAGGCCAGAGAGTGATTCTTGTAGACATAAGCGATGACAGAAGTCATGCGGTCCCTGTCCTCCGTGAAGACAGGGATGCCACGCACCATCTCCGACACGCCCAGGGGGGCATTCATATCCAGGCCACAGAAGTTGTCATCAATGGTTAAGAGCTAAAATGAAGAGGGAGAAGAATTAGAAGTGAACAGCAGGGCAATTTGCAGAGGTACTGAGTCAGGGAACTCTGGAGCTAGGAGAATCCTTAGAGGTGAATCATCTGGTATAAATCCCTGCTTTATCACATGAAAAACTCAGCTCCAGAGAAACTAAGTAGCCTGTCAACAGTCATCTAGGTAGGTTGCAGGACCATGGCAGAAAGTCACAGATCCCTGGAGTATTCTTTCTACCACACTCGGCAACCTCTCTGCCCCACCTCCAACCACTCCAGGTACCATCTTGATAGCCCATCATCACCAAGACATGGGAAAACACTGGGCCACCACCCACGAGCATGGGACCCAGGCATCCCTGCTAGGGAGTGAGAGGGGCAAGGGTTCCACATCTACACACTTAGTATTGAGCAGACACACAGGTCAGGACTCAAAGGTGGGGAATGGAGAAACAGGAATGTTAATACACGTAAGCCAACACCGTGGCAGAGACATGTATGGACAGTTGGTTGGGGAAAGGAGGAATGGGAGGAGTGGAAAGTTTGTGGATGAATTCAGTCAGGCCACAGGTGCCTCCCTATGTCCCATCTCAGGCTCCTTCTTCTTTTACAGCATAGTGAAGAAGGGCAGCCCTGACATTGTCATACTTTCACCAGCATTTCCCAAAATGCAAGTCCCACAAGATTTCCTACCATAAATGGGTTCCTTGGGCAAATGATTTTGGGCAATATCCTGAAACCCAGTACATTACAACATCATGTAAGATATTCCTAATTGTTACACACACAAAAAAAGGTGTGAAAAGCCTTTTCAGGAAGAAATAGGTTTAAAATTCTCTCAGCATGTTTTCCAAACAATTTATTTCCTAAACCATTTTTCCATGGGAACACCTCTTAGCATCCCTTAAAGAGAACGTTCCCTGGATTCCCAGGTACCCTGTGGGATACAGGGACCCAACTCTTGCTTATGACTCTGGGACAATTTCAGGAGTCAGGAACCAACAAGTGAAGCCATTTCCCCACCCTACCCTACCCCCAGTGTTTTAGCTGAGTCTCTACCTGTTTTACTCCAGGCTCCCAGATCCCCAGGTAAGCAGAGGGTCACAGCTAGGCAGTCCTCCCGGGGAGTGGCTAAGACCTTGACAGTGGTTGCTGAGGGGCCTCCAGGCCCCCCCACTGAGCAGCTTGGGGGTTGGCACAGACCTCCCTGAGGCTCTAAGATCCTACAACGGATTTCCCCCTTTTTCTCAGAAGAACTGTCTCTCCTGAGTCATTCCATCTCTCTGTGCTTTGATTTCCCACTCTATAAAGATGAAGGAAACAACCTCCGCTTTTTGATGGGCGTCCATAAAGCCTATAGAACTCATGCCTGTAAACGCCTTTGGACTTCTCAGAGAAAGCAGGGAAATAAAATGCAAGGTGTCATTTTTTAAAGGCTCCAATCCAGCCAAAGGAAGAGGCTTCTGGAGCACCAGCAGGGAGGCTCTTACCAGCAGAGCCGCTCAAAGTGGCCAACTCCGAGCTTTCCAGGGATGCAGGGGCCCTCAGCTCCCTCCCAGCGATGGGGCCGGGGGTGACAGGCAATGTCTGTGTGCCAAGCATGCTGACCTCCCTCTTATTGTGGTGGGGGCAGCCAGGGCAGGGAGGGAGCTCATACAGCCATGTGCAGAGCAGACATCCACCCCACATCCTGCCTTTGGCCTCTCTTGCATCATCTAATCCAACAGCCCAGACCAAACACACCCCCTATCTCACTTAGTCAAGTCCAACTCTTTGCGACCCCATAGACTGTAGCCCACCAGGCTTCTCTGTCCATAGCAAGAATACTGGAGTGGGCTGCCATTGCCTTCTCCACGGGATCTTCCCGACCCAGGGATCAAACCCAGGTCTCCTGCATCATAGGTGGATTCTTTACTGTCTGAGCTACCAGGGAAGCCTTTACTACCTCCATTCCCTCCAAAAACAACTCCAGGAGTCAAAGGCAGGAGGAAGCTTTCAAGGTCTAGACTGACCTTTACGGTTCTTTCCTAAAATGAGGAACTGGGGATGGGAGAGACAGCTAGGGTGGAGAGTAGAAGAGATGGAGAGGAAACAGGTAAAGGACAGACAATGTCTTTTCCCTGGTGGACATAACCACGGTGACTGCCAAGCCTTCAGAGGGCAGCTTAGGGATCTTCATGGCCTTGCACATTCCTGCCTCTGGTCCTGTCCTCACCCTGGACTTTCTCAGCCCTAAACTGTGCTGCCGGGATGTCTGCCATTAGCCAAAGGACCTTGCCCACTACTGCCATTTTCCAAGTAGATAAGGCTGAAGGACTGTCCACTCTCCACAAGGGGAAACTGAGGCAGGGAACAAGGCTGTCCATGTTTCCCACCGCACCTGGCACAAACACGCTGCCTTGACCTGATGAGGCTCAGGTTGTTCAGCCCCCAGAACTGCAATTCTGAGTTTTAAGTTACCAGACACCTTTCTTCTTCACTGGGCAGAACATGAGGTGAAAACCAACTACCTACAAAAACCAAAGTGTACATTCAGCCAATGACTGCATTAAATCCTTGCTTGCTCAGAGGCAGAAAGTCAGGGACCCACGAGTCTTTACCACGGTGGCATCTTGCACCGCCAAAGGCCTGGTGAGGAATGTTTTCATTGAGGTGGGAGGAGTGAGAACAGCTCAGCCTGGTGTCCTGGCAGCCAGGACTCCACCAGTTTCAGCTCAGGACAGCTCCCTGCGAGACCCACACAGGAGGCAGATCCAGGGCTCCTCACCTAGACCTGCAGGTATGTCCCCAAATTACTGACCTCATGGTATTGTCATCAGGCTCAAATGAAGCAAAGGCCACAACTGGGGCTCCTACCGTGGCCCTAGGATTCCAGAGACAATGATGGCTTCCCACCCAGACTCCCCTGTGCCTTGGTTTCTCCCTCTGAGCGGTGCCGCAGGTGATGAAAGGGTGATGGAGATACTGGACCAGGAGCAGCCTAGGTGGGCATGGATGCTGAGGTCCCCAGCTGTGGCATGGGGTGGGGGTGGGGTCTTACTCTTCACTTCCTCCAGCCGGGGTTGATAAGGGAAGGATTTTTAACAGTGATGGAGTGGGAGAAAACATAGGACTTGGGTTCACATGGCAGCTGAGCAGCTTCCCAAGCATACACCTTGGCACAGCCTCCTCCTGCTGCTCTCTAGGCCTACCATTCCTTGACAGTAAAATAGCAAGACGGGCTCATCCTGAGACCCAGGTGACACAACAGGTGTGAAGGCACTGGCTAAACTGGAGTGCCCTTCAAGGTACAGTGTTTCTTTGGGTTCATTTTTCTGATGGAACTCCTCAGAACAGCCATGGGGGGGATGGAGATGGTGCAGCAGGGAGTGGCCCTTGCATGCCTGCGGCCAGAGCATAGCTCCTGAGGACACCACCCTGAGTCTAAGCCAAAGCATCAGAGTAATTGCAGCACAGAAGGAGAGGAGAGCAGAGGGAGGGTCCCACAGGGCCTGCAGACCCCGGGGGGCTGGGGTGTAGGGAGCAGATGCCAGGGCCCCTGGAAGGGAAGGCTAATTGGAGAACACCTTCGACAAGCGAAGGCTGGAGCAGATTCCTGAGCACCCTGGGCAACAGGAGAGGAGAGTGTGTGCTCCTTCGGCCCTGGCCGAGCCCTCCCCTGGGCCCCATTAACAGTAAGATCAGAGCTAGAGCCAGAGGAGCCAGGAAGGGGCTGGTCTCCGTGGTAATCAGGAGCCGGGCACGCCTGCAGGCCCTCTCCCCTGCCATTCCACAAATACCCACGAATGAGCTCTGGCCACCGCTCCAGTGCTTATTCATTAGACAGCAGCTTCATTCTTACCAGGGAAAGAGATTAGGGTCTGCTACATGGGAATGTATGCAGTGGGCACCTCTGTGAATAGACCCCAAAGCCTCGGACAGGGCCATAGCCTCTGGGGTCCCTTCTGGCCCATAATGAAGATACCAGATCTGCTTTCCACAGATATCCTCATGGGGTGCCTGACTTGTAAAGTGAGACTGGTGATCCACTGGATTCCAGGGGCTGGCCATGAGCTCAAGGATGGCACCAAGTTTTAGGCATGTTTGTACCCTTAGCTCTGTTCCCGGTTTATAATAGGTTAAGACATATATATTAAATGGAAAATGCATGGATGAATTGATGGGCAACCAAATAAAGACCTGAGTCTCAAAACAGCTAACACTATTTTGGAACTAGAGCCAGGAAGCCTAGTTAGAATCCCAGCTTCACCACTTGGTGCTGTGTGACCTTGGGCAAGTTAGTGAACTTCTCTGTGCCGCAGGTTTTCATGGATAGTATAGGGATAATAATAATAATAGCATATACTTTCCAATGCTGTGGAGAGGATTCAATGGCTAATTCATGAAGAACAATGTCTGGCACTTAGTAAGTGCTAAGAGAGTGTCAGGCTTCCCAGGTGGCTCAGGGGTAAAGAATCCACCTGCTAATGCAAGAGACCTGAGTTCGATTCCCGGGTTGAGAAGATACCCTGGAGAAGGAAATGGCAATCCACTCCAGTATTCTTGCCTGGGAAATCCCATGGATAAAGGGGCCTGGTGGGCTACAGTCCATGGGGTCTCGAAAGAGTGGGATACAACTTAGCAACTAAACAGCAACAATGAACAAGAGAGTGGTTAGCTCTAGCTACTGCTGGTCATCCTTGTGCGTGTGAAAGTTGCTCAGTTGTGTCTGACTCTTTGTGACCCCATGGACTATACGGTTCATGGAATTCTCCAAGCCAGAATACTGAAGTGGGGAGCCTTTCCCTTCTCCAGGGGATCTTCCCAACCCAGGGATTGAACCCAGGTCATCCATAGACAATTCAAATAATCTTTGTGAGTCTTAGCATCTTTGGGGAAATTCATGATACTTGTCCCAGAGAGGTGTGATCAAGATTAAAGGCACTAAGGTTATCAAGATGAAAGAGCAGAGGTGGTTCTTCCTAAAGATCTATCAGGTCAATAAGGCTGAATAAAGGAGAAATA